CTCTGATAAACCATTTTAAAAATCACGAAAACCTCTCATAATCATTGATGGCCTGATTGGCAGTCCATAGACTATAAACTACAGTTCTTAAAGGTCCTGGTAATTTAGAGTTGCATCGCCTTCATAGACTTTTTTTTTCGTCTTCCTGCATACTTCTTTAACCAAAAAATTGTGCTATCGACGTGAAATTGTGACTGAATTATTTAATTTGTCTTATTGTTTCCCGGTAAACCGCATGGAACCGAAATTCAGGCAAGCTTTTTTTGCATTGAACTCCTTCAGCGAGCATTTCCTTCGACCCCCAATTCTTCGGGAAAATTTCTTTTTTCATGGTCCCTCCATTTCCCCTCTTCCTCGCTTCGAAATTGAAAATTCCGTCCAAATGTTTTGGGGAGCCGCGACGATGACATTAGCGCCTTTTCTGATTCCAGACAATACACCCCGGCAGCCTCAAAGTTTTATTAATTCATCATCGATGACTTGAAAGGCTTCGGGAAACAGCGAAAAATTTCGTAGAGTTGAAAGATTCCTAAATCACCACGGTGTAGTGTAGAAACTTCAGAAAATATGGCCGCTAGGTGCTTTGGCATTATCGGTGAGGGGCTGGTTTATCAGAGGCGAGAGTAGGCGGCTCTAATATCCAATTTTCTATTACAGATGGGAACAATGTTTCTAAAATTCTTTTACTACTTCTAAACCTCAAAACTTTACAAATTTTTAGTCAAGACCCAGAAAATACCGTGTTTTTGACCAAAAATAGCCGTTTTTCACCTAAACTCTCCAATTTTCGACTTTTTTTTAAGGTGTTTGAGATAGTTTTTCACTTAAAATCTAGTTAAATTGTCCTAGAAACGCTATTAAAACTTACTATTGCATTAATTGGAATTTCAGCATTAGTAAAAACAAGGTTTCTCACCGATACCCCTCCCCCGATAAAACGAAAGAGCCGGAAGCCATAAAAAGAAAGCTATCGAAAGAAAGGTTTCATAAAGTGTCAAGCAACCCGTATCGCCCCTCATTTATTGCCAAAAATAACACATGACAAAAACAAAGATATTGGTACAGAAAAATTTTTTGATATGGCGAGGGAGAGAATCGAATCGAGGCGATGATGAGGAGCAGCTAGTGGAGGAAGCGGTTGATGATGTGGTGGACGTGGAGGGCCCAGTACTGCCAGTCGAAGATGCTCATCTTCGCCTGTTGCTTGCGGATAATCTCCTCGGCAATGCTGCGCACGCTGCGCATCTTCGGCTGGCCGGTCGTCGCCGGGCGCTTGCAGCGCTCCTTTTCCTGAAAAAATGAGTGTGATCTAGGGTGAAGTCTAGCTAGAAAATTTGGAAGGCTGCTAGCAAAAATGCTAAAAAATGATGACCGACCAATTGGACGACATTTTGCTCATTTTTCTGAGAACCAGATGCCGACTTGGTAGTCGAGGTATTCGTAGTAGAATTGGTGTCATTGGCAATGGTCGAATTGACAATGGCATTGGTAGACGGTGCATGGCTGGATGACGTGGCGGTGGACGGCTCGGTGGTGGACGGCCGGGTGGTGGACGGCTCGGTGGTGCTCGGAGCGGGAGTAGTAGTCGTTGTAGTGGTGTTCGTTGTAGTCGTCGTGTTCGTGTCCTTGGTGGTGGTCGGCACTGAATAGGAAATTTTCTTGTTCTAAACCGCAGTTGTTTGCGCATTTCGGGCCGGTATCAACTCTTTCCTACATTGTGAAGCCCCTTACCCCCGAAAACCCGCGAAAATCGCCATTCCTACCTTATATAATTTGGTCGCGTATCTTTGTGTGTGTGTGTGTGTCCGGCGCCAGGGAGGGCTACTTTGCATAATTCCAAAAAATACAAATTTCCTCATTCTTGCAAGTTGCACGCGCGGGTGTGGTCGGATTAAGGGAGGGGTCGGAAGGACCCAAGCTATCGGAAAGTCAAATTTCTCATGCAAAAGCCGCATTCCAGCGCCCAAGGCCCGCGAAGCGGGTTTTGGGCGCTGGTTTTTTGATAAAATAAGGAGGGGAAAATTGTCGTATCCGGTCACTAAACCTATTTTGGATTTTTATATGTCAAAATGCTCAGCAGGTCGAGCTGATTCAGGATCAATTGAAAAAAACTTTTCGGAAACGCTTCTGTCTCGAGATATGACACTACAAATTTGGCTACTGAATTATCCGTTCACTAAGCGAAAATCGGAGTTTATTATGTCAAAATGCTCAGTAAGTTGAGCGGTAAGAGTTTACTTTACCCCCCCCACAGCCGAAGGGTCTCAAAGTTGTCGGTATTTTCGCTTATTTTGTCGGGATTTTCGCAACGCCATTCGATAGAGCGTCGAAAAATATACTAAGAGTTTTAATTTGAGCCTACAATAATGTAAAATAAAAAAGTTATAGCCAAAAACTTCCGGCTGGGGGGGTAAAGTAAACCGTAGCCAGTTGAGCTGATCCAGGATCAGTTGAAAAAACTTTTCGGAAAAACCGCTATCGAGAGATATGTAGCTTACAAGGTCTCAAAACCGGCCGAGACGTAGTACGCAATACACCTATATGCGCCAACTGTAAATTGGAAAGAACGGAATGGTAGGCAATTGCTGCTTTTTGGGTAAAAAAACATTGTCAGGCAAGGTGGGCCGTCGCTTCGGATGGGCTGCCGCTCCACTCTTTCGAAATCGGGGCGCCTCGGGCGCCCCGATTTCGAAACCCTGTACGAGCTCGCACCCATCCGAAGCGACTAGGCCCCGGGGTGGCACGAAGCCTTATTTTTTGGCTCAAACTTGGTGTGGTGAGTAAAGCTAAGCTCTTATCGAGCACTTATCCATCTTTTTCCGTACCGAAACCGGACTTATAGGAGCGAGAACAGGTTATATAATGAACGGTTTGAAGTCAAACTTTGAAGTGTCATATCTCGGTAGAGAAGTGTTTCCGAAAAGTTTTTTTGACTGATCCTGAATCAGCTCGACTTGCGGAGCATTTTGACATATAAAAGACCGAAATAGATTTAGTGACCGGATACGACAAGACGGGTCTTCCTTATCCTTTTAAATAAGGATTAAAGGGATAAAGAAGACCTGGTAGATCAGGGCTTAACTATAATTGGCAACGTGCGAACCGGAAATGCTAACGCGAAAAACTCCGCCAAAAGCGGGGCGGGGCAGGAGGGAGCAAAGAAGATTATGCTAATTTTAGAACTAAAGCCCGTTTTATGCTAAATTTTCCTGGGCCTTCATGATTCCTTTAAGATACCGTCAGGCAATGGAGGCAACGTCGGGCCGGTCCCAGCATTTGGCTCTAAATTGATACTTTGCCAATTCCAAATAAAGCAACAAACGCGGATTGTTCGGGGGGAAAAAGGTCCCTGCAGAAGTGTGGTGGACCATCACAATAAATAGAATATGATGGCAAAGCTTCATCTTCCAAGAACCGACCCAATAAGGTCGGGCTGAGTCGTGAAATGTTGATTTCGTAGGCCATTTCTAGATCGGAACTATTACATGCAGCAGCATTATTTCAATTACCCAATATGCTTATTTCGTGGTAGCGGGCCTATCCTACCTTATATAATTTTGGCGTGTATCTTTGTGTGTGTGTGTGGATGTCAGTTTCGAGGCCCGATTTGACGGCCTTCCTGTGTATAAAACGCCCTAATTCTTGGTCACCAGGGGTAATCGACCCTTCTGTTTCCGATGGCGTTTTCAGAAATTCGATAAAATAAAAGTTTACAAAGTTAAAGCCGGTTTTATTCATTTTTGGGGTCCGGGAGGGCTAATTTGCATAATGTGAAAAAATACAAATTTGCTCATTCTTGCCAATTACACGCGCGCGTGTGGTCGGGGGAGGGGTCCGAAGGACCCCGGCTGTCGGAAAATCAAATTTCTCATGCAAAGGCCGCATTCCAGCGCCCAAGGCCCGCGAAGCGGGTTTTGGGCGCTGGTCAACAATAAAATGTTTTTACTCGGGCCAGAAATTTATAAATGAAACCATATCTATCTTGTGCAGAATTCTAAGCTGAATCTGATCTGTTTTCAGGCGGACTAACAATTTTGAAAAGTTACCCGTATTTTAATGTTCTAAAATGTAAAAATACCCTGACTTAAATGTCCCATAAAAATCGCCAGGAAATTTTCCAGAAGTGCGCAATAGCAGTTTTTACTCAGAAAAACAGGGGCTTTCAGATGAGGTAACTTGTATGTAAACGCGTAGTCGCGCAATCAAAAGCTAACAGTAAAGTGTTTTTACTCAGGCTGAACCTTTCAAATGAAACCAAGCCCATCCTGTGCAGGATTTTACGCTGATTTCGAATCTGTTTTCAAAAGTTGCGGAATGATACTTTTTGAAAAGTTACAACGTATTGAGTGTGCTACAATGTAAAAAACTTCGATGCCCCATAAAAATCGGCAGGAATCTATCCCGGAAGTGTTCGATCGCGGGTTGTAGTCAGAAACACATGGGCGTTTAGATGTGATATCTTGTCGACGCTAAGTCGCATAATCAAAAGCTAAACCCCGCTGCTTCTCAACTTTGTGTGGTTGTCTTTGTCTGATTTCCGGATTTTTTTAACAGACCTTATATGAAAGTCCTGTTTTTTTGAGTAAAACCGGTTAACGAACACTTTTGGGATCGTTTCTTGTCGATTTTTATGGGGCATCGAAGTTTGCGTGTTTTTACACTGTAGCACGCTAAAATACGTTCTAACTTTTCAAAAATTGTGATTCCGCAACTTTTGAAAACAGATTCAAAATCAGCGTAAAATACTGCACAAGATAGGCTTAGTTTCATTTCAAAGTTCCACCCGAGTAAAAACACTCTACTGTAAGCGGCCCAGAGGAGAGGTTAACAATAAGTACTTTACACTATACACGCCGACTCTCGCAAAAATTCATCTTATACATGTTTTGTATTCTGGTTGGGGACCTGAGGCAAGAAATGTTTCTTGTTGAAACTCCGCCCAATACGCTTGCTTCTCGTCCCCATTTGGACGTCGACGCATACATTTTCCGGCGCCAAGCATGCTGAGCATATTTTTTATACTGTTGCCGCTTATTGGTGCTATGGAAGCCGAGACCACTACTACTGAATATGGTTCACTTTTCAATCGCCAGGGATTACTAGCCTTCAAATACGAACCAACTTTGGCAGTTAAGGTTCGGGTTTACAGAGCAAAAGTTTTTGGACAAAGCTTCTTGTGCGTTTGTGGCAGCGGCCAACTTCGCGTTCACTTCGCTTTGTACTTGGTCCGATCACCATGCACAAAACGTCCCAAGAAAAAGACCCATGCGTCATTTCACCGTGTTGCAGCCGATCGGTCCCAAAATTCGACCAGGGATGTATCAATCCCTAAATAAGTAAAATTCTGACCAATACCTAAGTGAAAATTAGTTGGCAAGCTTCCTTCCATCAAGAAATTTTTGCGTAATAAAATTAATCTATTAAAAGTCGATTTAAGCAATTTTTGCAACGCAACTCCGAATTTTCGTTATCGCTTGACCCACTGTAGCGATTGGGCTATAAGTAGCATGTGGTTCATGAGGTCGCCTCTTGCAGATGCTTGGTCTTGGCCTCGGCTCAATAAACAAGGACAAGGACTGCTTTGATGCAATCGCAACAGAAACTAAATTGCAGATTGAGAAGATCGCCGGGTTGGTGAAATTCCGCCGCTATGGGCAAAAATATCTCTTAAGATATCTTTTAGAGGTAATCCCGTTTCAAAAAAAGTCCGCTCAGCCTTAAGGCTCGCATTGTTATTTTCTTAAGAAATGCACCTAACTCGGAAACCTTGACCATGAATTTATGAGACCCCAGCTTCTGATCTATAGATGATAGATTGCCGTTTATTTCGCCCATGTTCCTGCGCGGATCTTTTATTTCGCAGGCTTTCATTCCACCGATGCTCATTTTGCGGCTTCTACAGGGTGTCCCATAAAAAAGCACCCCTCCGGCATTTCGCCGTATTACAGGGTGTCCCATAAAAAAGCACCCCTCCCGCATTTCGCCATATTACATCCGATCGGTCTCAAAATTCGACCAGGGGTGTATTAGACCCGAAATAACCACAATCCTGAGTTACAGCTCGCCAGCTACAGTAATCTTCGAGATACAGCAAAAATAAGCTTTCTTAGCGGTTTTTCATAAGGTTTTCGTCGGAATTGACCCTTCGGATATTAAGTGAAAATGACGCTGCAGGCCTTCTTTACCCCTAGAAATTTTTACCTAATAAAAATTAATCAAATAACCGTTGATTTCAACAATTTTTGTAACCCAAATTCACCCCCGATATTAAGAGAAATTAGGGATTCGCAGCCGGAAGTCGATGCAGATCGATGCAAAGTCCAAAAAGATAGCCGAAAAAACTGTTAAGAATCGCGTGAAAAATAGGATTTTGGCAATAACTTGAAAACTACTGTAGCAATCCGGCTATAACTCAGGATTGTGGTTGTTTAGGGTCTGATATACCCTTGTGCAAAGTATGGGACCGATCGGACGTAATATGGCGAAATGCGGGAGGGGTGCTTTTTTTTGGGACACCCTGTACATCCGATCGGTCCGAAATTTGGACCAGAGGTGTATCAGACCCTAAATAACCACAATCCTGAGTTATAGCCCGCCAGCTACAGTAATCTTCGAGATACAACAAAAATAAACTTTATTATCTGTTTTTCATATGGTTTTCGTCGAAATCTACCGTTCGAATATTAAGTGAAAATGAAGCGGCTAGCCTGCTTCCCCTAGAAATTTTTTCTGATAAAAAATTAGTGAAATAACCGTTGATTTCAACAATTTTTGTAACGCAAAGTCACCCCCGATATTAAGCGAAATTAGGGATTCGCAGCCGGAAGTCGATGCAGATCGATGCAAAGTCCCAAAAGATAGCCGAAAAAGCTGTTAAGAATCGCGTAAAAACAGAATTTTGACGATAACTCGAAAACTACTGTAGCGATCGGGCTATAACTCAGGATTGTGGTTATTTAGGGTCTGATACACCTCCTGTCCAATTTTGAGACTGTTGGGATGTAATACGGCGAAATGCCGGAGGGGTGCTTTTTTCGGGACACCCTGTATTTGCCAGTTTGGGCCAAAGCAGCAACATTTTAGTCAGATCTTTCATGATTTAGCCCCTTAATTCTTCATGATACTTGCTTGTGATATTTTCAGACCTTTATCAGACAGCATGCAAAAGTATACCAGTATACAGTATACAGTATGACGGTTGAATACAAAGTAATGAGAAATATAATTTTGCATGAAAATCGGCGAACTGGAAAATTCACGAAATAAAAAATCGGCGCGTCGGCGAAATAAGTCGGCGAAATGCCATGGATGAAAAAACGCACGCCGGATATCAGCAATCAACTATAAAAATTCAATTTAATTTAATTAATTTGTTGGCAAAAACGGCTATTTGCACGATTTTGGGCATAGTGAGCTAGGTCGCGCGTGTAGCCCCAAGTCCAGCGGCTTTGCAGCTGCGGCGGCTGGAGTGTAAGTGGCTGGTACTATAAAATGCTGTCGGCTGATCTCAAAAATTCTTAACAAGGCACCAACTTTTTTTAGCGAAACAAAGCAGCTGTGGCCTTGGTGGACCACTCATATCGGCGTAAGGTCCCAACTTTTATAAGATTTTAGGGATCTAGGTTCTCAAAGTCGCCGCCAACGACTTGCAAGCGATCGTTTTCTGGTTTTCCGGTCCGGAAGCTTCAGCCGATGAAAAGGCAATATTTGAACTACAGCGTCAGGTGTGTGATTAAAAATGAGGAAGTTTACCGTGAACAAGATCCGGCAAACATACGAACCTACGAAAAGGTTTTTTTATACCTTGTCATCTTCAGAAAGCGCATAACCCAATTTATTCTAATTGGGGCAGTTTTCAGGAGCTGGTTCCCTTCGGGATTAAACACTGTGGCCACGAAGTGTTAGTCGGAAAGCGGCTGTTGGATGCATTTAATACGATCAAGGAGTATGTTAGGTAATACTGGGTATAGGCATCGAATTTTGAAGCATTATAGCGGCGTTCTGGTGAAACTAACTGAAAACGCGCGCGACCATTTGGTGGTATGTTTCGGTTCCGATCCAAGACCGAAGTTTTTCCCCTGTGCAAAATAAGATTCCTTTAGTTCCAAGGCCATTCGCTAGGCGGTTGCCTGGCTCAAATGTTTTCTCTATGGGCTCAAGAGCAGAATCTTTGGTTGCCTGGACGTGTAAGCACCATCGGCTTCGGGCAGCCTCGCTGTGGCGATGTGGTTTGGTTACGCAGGTGGTCCGCAAGCAATAATTCTAGCATTTCGCTGATGCTGTGAAAAAGGCAAACCGAGTGATCGGACGGGTTTACCAGCCACCAGATGCATTTATGGTGAGTACAGGGCGTCTGAATACAAAACACCCCTCTAACTCGACGCTGAAGTACCGGATCGGAATGATATTCACACCATTCGAAAGCCCCTGAAACAGCGGGTTTTCAACCATCCCTAAAACAGAAGACAAAACTAGTAAGTATTTTTTTATTTAAATGAGCGATTTTGCAAGCTACTTTCTAAAGTGTACCGGCTTCTCGGGTTGCAAACGCGCTGATTTTCCTCAAATTCTCCACGCAAACCCCGGACGTGGCCGTTCAATAGATTCAGAAGCCGTTTCTGAACGTTTTTAAATGCGTTATACAATGACGTGTTTCATTTAAAACATGGTTTTGAAAACGATTGAAAACTCGCCCTTACTAGCCCTGTCGAATGGTATAACTCCCGTTCCCAGCCGATCTCGGCCGATTTGGAGGGGGGAGGGGGCGGTTTGGGACACCTTGTAGACGACCAAGTCCCCGGTCGTGTTTGTTTCCAAATTATTTGACTTGTTACAAACACAAACGCAAATGCGCCAAAAAATGAGACGCGCTTCTTTGTTAGGCGCCCTTTAATTAAATGGTTTCAGAACTACCCGCAGGCAGCGCATGTCACCTACAACGATGGGGTCCCTCAACCGGCAATTGGCTTTCATCACGCTGGTGTACGTGTTGCGTTAAAATTTGATTACAAGTGTCATTTTTAGGGAGTGGCGCTAGTGTCAGCGTCCAGTCGGCAATTAATCAAGCTCTGTGATCAGGAGGAGGGAGAATGTCGCATCGATAATAGCGCGGAACATACGGATGAGGGCGTCTCTGGGCACTATTTTAATTGGAATGCCTCAATATTTACTGGAGAAAAATGCTTTGGAAGCTGATAGTGCGTGCAAGCCTAATAAATCATCTGATGTGCGTCGCGTTGCCATGTCCTTAAACCTTTTCATTGGCGGCATGCATAAAAATAGTTTCCCGAGAGGTCGTAAAGTCGATCCAAGCGGATCGGCCAAGACAAGAATGTGCGTTGATTTGTGCACAAAATAAGCAGGGAACGCGGACACCTTGTGGGGGTATTCATGGACGACAATCTTCTGATCCGTTTGCCCAAGTGTTCGAACTCTGAGTAGTTTTAGGTACGTCCAGAATAGGTAACTCTAATAAATCTTAGACAACGGTTTACGAGTAGGCAAGGTGCTTAGGTCCAAGGCCTCTTGCCCTAAATTCTCTGCTTCTGACAAAGTTTCTGTAAACCTGGTAGAACCGGCAGGGCTGTACGGAACGCGGCGTGGGTCAGCCTCACCAGAACCAGTAGCAAAAACAGCTTTTTTCTTCAAAGTGGTGGACAAGTCAACTAAACCTGAAGTATTCTGAAGCAATCCGACGTTCTTTCTACGGCAGCATCGACGCTTTTCATCAGCAACGTGTGGCGCACTATCTAAGGCGCACTAAGGATTTTGTAGCGTGTCTTTGAAGCGCATCGTATCAAAAAATTTTCATTTATTTGCGCACAAAATAGGTACGGAATACAGACACTTTATGGGTGTATTCATCGACGACGATCACCTGATCGGGTTTGCCCAAGTGCGCCAATTCGATTGATCCGGCCGCTGGCAGCGGAAATTGCGGAATGCGACCTTCGGAATCTGAAATTTCAGAAACGTTTGGAAGAATTGACAGCTGACGAGGCAAGGAAGGTAAGAAGTAAGTACCGGAGGTTGTCGGGGTAGGAAGGGTAGTGTAGACATCGGCGGTAGTGCTAGCAGGTGTTGAATCTCCTAGAAAAGGTATCATATACGACCATTCGCGACTATTTAATAGTTTATTAGCCTTACAGGGGGGGGGGTTGCGACTGCTGGAAATAAGGGTTTTTTCACATTGTAGGGGGGACAAACTTTGCTGCTGCTAAGCTGTTGCTTACCATTCCGCGCGCAAAAACCTACAAATACTATAGTTGATTAAAAACTACAAGCGATGTCGTTTATATTTTGCCCAAAATCGCCGATTTCGAAGAAATTTATCTTAGCTTTTTTATTGGTTTTCCCACCTGAAATCTGGCTATTTGCTAAAAATATCATACCTGGGAAGACAGGGGGTCCCGTTCTCGGGTGGAATGCTTAAATTTAATATCGAAAATCGCTGATTTTGCAAAAGCTCATATGGTGCAGTCACCGCAAGGCCATTACTAACCTGCGGCGCTCAAATTTCGTAATTTTTTCTTGCCCCCCGAAACTGGGGGTCGGCTACGCCCCTGGTTACGGGTTTGCAAGGTGCTTGGGTCCAAGTCCTCTTGCGCTAACTAGGGAGGTATCTGAACTCGGCATCGAATTTTAAGAAGTCAGATACACCATTCGACGCGCCTTGTCGAGGGGATTCCAAATATGTAATAAAATCAACCAGAGCCTATAACGATAAAAAGTTATAAGCATTTTAAGTTTTGCAGCGAAAAATGCCGCGGGGATATTAGCCCCTCCCAGCGCACCCTGTTCGTCGGCCCTTTGGCCTAGTGGTGCGCATGGGTCTCCGGTCTGTACGACGAGGGTTCGGATCCACTCACGATTTTTATTTTTTGCTTTTTGGCCAGTTCCTACTTTTTGCATTTCCAAACTCGGGAATAAGCTTTTCTTGACTGTGTGACCCCTAAAAGGCACCAGCTATGATTAAATAACCTCGGGCAACAAGATCAGGATTGGACGCTCTCTATATCAAAGTTGGCAAAATCGTCAAAAATCGCCCATTTAAGACTCTGTACGAATTCGAAGAATGTAATTTGTCCAAAATGGAACAGTACATCTTGATCAGCAGAAAATTCTCTTTCGAATGGGCTATCTTACATAGGCTTTATGCGAAATTCTCGAAACGTCTTCGGCAAGCTGGCCATACCCTACCCTTACGCCGCATTCCACAAATATTTTTTAACGGAAATTTTTGGCAGCCGTATGTAATATAGCTCATTTGAAAGAGCTTTCTTTGTTGAATAAGGAGCACTACTCAGTTTAGGCTAAATTCCATTCCGCGGGATGATACAGGGTCTCAAAGATACTGTTTTTCACCATTTTGTCGACTTCGAATGCTCATAACTTTTTACGGTTATAGGCTCTGGTTGATTTTGTTACATATTTGGAATCCCCTCGACAAGGCGCGTCGAATGGTGTATCTGACTTTTTAAAGTTCGATGCCGAGTTCAGATACCTCCCTAGTAAATAATAAACTTGTCACAAATTTTTGCGAACTGCTTATATCTGGTGGAGCTGTACGGAACGCGGCATGGGTCGGCATCACCAGGACCAGTAGCAGAAAAAGCTGCATTCTTCAAAGTGGTGGACAAGTCAACTAAACTTGGAGTATTCTGGAGACGTACTGATGTTGTGTCTAAAAATTTGTTGTTTCTGGGAGTATGAATATTCTGCTAAGCAACGTGGCAGGCCCCTTACATTCAAAACATGCTGCCGTAGTTCCCGAATCAGGTTTTCAGTATCGCGGCCGCGTCATCGAATCATGCAAAATGCAACTGCAGCGTGTGCTGCAAAAGCTTTTCCTGTGATTTTGTAAGGTGTTTTTGAAGCGATCGTATAAGAAAAATGCATCATTTATTTGCGCACAACATAAGTATGGAATACATACACTTTATGGGTGTATTCATCGACGACGATTTCCTGATCGGATTTGCCCAAGTGCGCCAATTCGATTGATCCGGTCGCTGGAAGCGGAAATTGCGGAACGTGACCTTCGGAATCTGAAATTTCAAAGAAGGTAAGTTCGGAAGAATTGGCAGCTAACTAGGTACGTAAGTAGCCTCATAGATACCGGAGGTTGTGGGCGTTGAAAGGGTAGTGTAGACATCGGCGGTTGTGCTAGTAGGTGTTGTTAGTTCTATAAAGGGTAACAAATGCGACGATTCGCTGTTGGTCAATAGCTTATTGACCTTCTAGGGGCGTCGGGAATGCGGGAAACCAGGGTTTTTTCGCATTATCGGGGCATTATTAAAAAAACACACAATAAATGTCAATTTTTTTTGCCCAAGACAGCTAGTGTTTTTCTACCTCAAATCTAGATAATTTTTGCTAAAAATACCAGTAAAATAATTAGTGTTAGATTTGACGACATGATGTCGAAATTTCTTAATGGCTAAAGTCGGAATGTAGGCACTTCTTGATAGGATATACGGTGTTTTCTTGGAGATTGGAAATTCGCTTCTGTAAATTTCGACATTATGAGATTTTAGAGAAATTGGGCTAGGAAAAATTTTGCCCCGCGATAATGGGAAAGAACCGGAATAAGAAAACCATTTCGCGTAAGAAGAGATATGGCCATAGTTTGGCAGGGAAAAGATATTTTTAAGATTTTCTACCTGGTGCTGGCTGCGTGGGATGTTTGGGGTGTGATATATTCACTAAATTATACAAGGTATTGAATTAGAACAAAAAACAAACCATTTGGCATTGGAGAAACACGTATTCCGCTCGCCACTAGCGCTCCCATAGCCAATATCAGGTAGACAGCAACCCTCATCGTCCAATGTTCCGTCAATTGCAACTGACTGAGTGGCGTCGTTTAACGTTGTAGGGACCGAAAGATATTTGTAGTAATTGAAGAATGTGTGTATGTTTTGTCTGTTTCTATCATTTTCACGTTTATATGAATTCCTCATGGCTCCTGATTGTCGTTAATTTCACAACATTGTTGTGTCTCTGAAACGTGATAATCATCCAGAAAATTGTTTACTTTCGATTACGGGTTTTTAGTATTATATTAGCGAAATTCCTGTGTAGTTTTGCTGAGACAGTTAAATAAAATAATCATTTATTGCGCTCCACAACCGGTCGGCGAGAGTATGATCTCAAGCTTCAAGCCGGCTAGCTGTTCTGTGTGAAATTTATTGGAAGACGGCACGTGGACGTCGATTTGGACAATCCGGTCATTGGGTTCTGAAAATTAAAGTGTTAAAACCTGGCTTTAGCGTCGAAATTCTGGCTTCAAACGCTGTGCAAAAAGGGAAGGTTGCCAAGGGAAAGTTGGACTTCATAATGAAAGACCGTTTTTTTTTGTGCTGATTCCAGGCCACGAATAGTTTTTGACCAGTGCCCGATTGTTTTGTAAGCTACCATTAGCGGTGATTTCAGGAACGCCACGCATTGGCTCTTCGATAGAGGTGGATACGGCGGTGGTAGCTCCTGTAAACCAAAATGTTCTTGATCTTCACTCAAACATCGTATTTCGAATTTGCACTCACCGCTATTTCGTAGATTATAACCGCTATTGGTAGATTACCTGTACTGTGCTCATCTGGCGTAGCGGTAGATGGGCCTGACGTCGTGAAGTTCGCTATAAAGAGACGATCAAGCAAAACGGAAAACAAACAGCGGGGTTCGCGGGGCGGCATTGTAAAAAGCGCATTGACGCCCAAGATGATGGCGAAAATCAGGGAACTGATTACGAATAACCTCATGATCTAGTTAAGCCGTAGTAGGGAAGTTAAAATGCTTGCGCCATGATTATCATGCTGATAGACAGCTTTGGAACCTGTGCCTGTTGTGTCTTGAAGTCTTATATGCACTTCAATTGAATGCCTCATGCCTGCTGATTGCGGTCGATTGCAAAGGATTGTTGTGACTTGAGAAGGGGGAAATTGATGAAAAAATTATCAGAAAGTCAAGCTTGAATTTTTATCACGAATTAAATTGAAAATCCTGGAATTAACCGAGGTTCACAAACTTTAAGGCGCACGTAAGCCTGTATTTATTTCTTCCCAGGCCGATAAAAGGAGAAGGACATTTTTCCAGAATATTCGACAACGACAACTTCATCTGGTGATTGCGGGCTCGGGTCGATTGGGGGGATGATTTGGGATGATGGTGGCGGAGCCTCGGTGCTGGTAGTCGAAGCCTCGGTTACTGAAAGCGCAAAGTTAGGGATATCCTGATTTAAAGGGATCAAGAAGGCCCGTGTATATCAGGTCTTATCTATCATTGGCAATTATTGGCAACGAGCCAACCGAAAATTCCATTCAAAACTTGGGAGAGAGCGGGCCAAGGCGACAGTAAACAGAGAAAATTTAGGCAAACCTTGAAACCCAGCCGGTTTCATGCCAAACTATCTGGGGCTTCCTGATCCCTTTATTCTTCGTTATCGTTCGACCAGCTCTTTGGGAAAAGAGATGTCTGAAGTGATAGATACAGCCACAAGGCGACCGCGTCGCGGGCATTCTTCTCGCTGTTACGACGTGAAAACCCATGAATTTCAAAATGTGATTGCTGGAATCGGCAAACGATCTGGAGCATTTCAGCTGTTTTCAGTTTTAGAACGAATTCCGGAATCCCTGTTTGCTGATTTGGGTGGTTTTCAGGGCATTAAAAGGCCATCCGCGGGCTTGGTGACTAGGCCCAAATTTGGCATGGGGATCATTTTTCTGATAAATTTTGACGTATGAAAATGGCTAAGCGTATTGGTTAGCGTTCATTTACCCCCAGCCGAAACCCAACTTTTGTCTCAATGCCTTCTTCCTACACTTCAACCCTAAAAAAATTTACCCGTGGCCGGAGTAGCAGTGGAAGGAGGCTGCGTACTGCTTGGAGGTGCTATAATTTGGACATGACACCTTGAGTATTTTGTTACCTGGGGACGCAGAAGATGGTTCGCGGGTGTGGTTAACTAGAAATAAGATCGCTTATGTTGTACGAAGGAAAGCGAACCTCGGCCGGGGGGCAGAAGCGTCACCCGTTGTGAGTCGAGCGCGATGGCCATGCAAGCGAGAAGCAAATAGGGAAGAAGCATGCCTCGCGGATAAAATGGCCTAATATGGAATATGGTCCCTGCGTCCTTGGGCAGCATTGTCAGCGCAGGTAGCTGAAGGAACTTCATGTTTCAAGGTATTAATAAATAGATGTGTTGCGATATGGTTTTTGCGAACTGCCAACTGAACCAACCGTATTCAGAGACTGACGGGTGTTGTGTCTGAAAATCATTTTTCACGTTACTATGAATTACTCATTGCTGGTGGTTGCCGCAAATTTCACAAAATTGTTTGGTCTCTGGGTCGTGGAAGTCATTCGGAGAATTGTATATTTTCGATTACGGGTTTTCACGATCATATTTGTAAAATTCCTGGCGTGAAGCATTATAAATTCCATCATACCAATCACTTATTATCGGGTCGAACCAATCAATCAAATCAAGAGCACGGCGAATGGAAGGTTTTTTGCAAACATATTCTGAAGGGTTGGGTTTCAAATGTGGTTTGGCAAATGATAGAAATGTTTTATTGCGTTTAACAAGCACTCGGCGAAATGAGGATTTCAAGTTTCAAGCCGGTCATTGGTTTTGGGTGGAATCTGTCGGAAGACGGCATGTGAACATCAATTCGAACGATCGGATCGTACATTTCTGAAAGTCAAAGTTGTACAGAGTATCTTTTTCATCGTTAAAGTTTTCCACACCGTTTCTATTTGGTAGATTAGAATTAGTATTCGATGGTTTCGGCGAAAATTGGTAGCCGCAAAAATTGATACAATTGAATACACACCGGTCGTGGGGCCCTCCAAGGTGACAGCGGGCACCTCGGATGTAGCAAGCGTAGTAATCGTAGTGGTGGTAGTCGTTATTGGCTCTAAAAATAAAGCTTCTGCTACTCCTTAAATTATTTCTGTACATAAACCCGAGAAACCAGAGCACCATTACGCTCGATTATTCCAGGGGTTAAAATTGCTGATAATTTACCCCCCCCCCCCAGCCCGAGGGTCCGAAAATTCTTTGAATGTTTCGCCTATTTTTTGACAATTTCTATAAGCCGTTCGATAGAGAATTAAAAAATATACCATTAGTTATATTTTCAGGCCAAAATATGATAATATTCTCTATTATAGTTTCGAGATTCTCTAAATTTTACCGAATTTCTTGAACGTTATTAGATAGTGCGTTTAAAAATGTGCCAAAAGTTTTAATTTTTTATTTTTAATGTAAAATAAAATAGTTATGGAAAAAGAAGCAAAACCCTGGTCACCTGTCAAACACTAATTTAGGTGTATAAGTCTTAATATACATTTTTTGCCGTTTCCGGCCAGGGAAAAATAACTGGTACCTAGAGCTACCGATTGGTGGCTTTAGAAAATGGTTGATAAGTGTCGTCTACAAGATCGATCCCACCGGTGGACGTCTGGGTGGATGCAGCGCTCGGAGTGGTTTCATCTAGTAATGGTGGCAAGGTGGGACCGGTCCAAACCTTTGGTTGGGCTGAATCAAAAGTTGTAGCTGGCAACTCAAACGAACCGTGCGTAGGGGGGAAAAAGGTGCCTGCGTCCGTGGCCACCATTGACAGAGCAAGTAGCAGAAGGAGTTTCATGTTTCAAGGTATCAATAAATAGGCGTCGGGCGAGATGGTTTTTGCGAACTGGCAACTGAAACAACCGTATTCAGAGATTGACCGGTGTTGTGTCTGCAAATCATTTTTCACGTTACTCTGAATTACTCATTGCTGCTGGTTGCCGCAAATTTCACAAAATCGTTTTGTCTTCGGGTCGTGGAAGTCATTCGGAAAATTGTATACTTTCTATACGGGTTTTCACGATCATATTTGCGAAATTCCCGCGTAGGTGTGAAGCATTATAAATTCTATCATATCATCCACTTATTATCGGGCCGAACCAATCAATCAAGTCAAGAGCACGGCGAATGGAAGGTTTTTTGCAAACATATTCTGAAAAGTTGGGTTTCAAATGTGGTTTGGCAACAGATAGAAATGATTTATTGCGTTTAACAACCAGTCGGCGAGATGAGGACTTCAAGTTTCCAGCGATAACGTTAAATAGAATAACCATATTTCACGCATATTCCCCATAGCAGCACGAGGTGCCAATCTGTTCTTCGAGATTTTAAAGATTTTTACAAAATTTCTTCGACGTTATTCGATAGAGCTTCTAAAAATGTACTAAAAGTTCAAGTTCCAGCTTAAAATAATGTCAAATAAAATAGTTATGGCAAGAACCAGGCTCACCTGTCAAACACTAATTGTCAAGCAGTTTATAAGTTTGCCTATTAATTTGATTTTTTATTGAGCCAACTCTTTTACCTTAAGTCAGGTAAGCGTTAGTCTATATGATTTCCGTATTTGCAAAATGTTTTTATTAATGTTACCGCCTGCCGTTGGAGCATTGCTTGGTGATGGAGTGGTGAACGTAGCTAAAACAGCTCGATGATCGGAAATCAAAAAAAAGCAAACGGTGATAAATCGCTGGGATGCGAATTGCGATGGTCGTGACCGCCAACATCAGGTAGAGAAGAGGCTTCATCGTCGTGGTCCTTGGTTTGCAACTAATGCTACCTTCAAAGTTGTAGGGATCGAAAGCTATATGTAGTAGTTGAAAAGTGTGCGTATGTTATGTCTTTCTGTCGCTATCATTTTCACGTTAATATGAATTCCTCCTGGCTCGTTATTGCCGCTAATTTCACAACATTGTTGTGTCTCTGGAACGTTTCAAAATTTTTTTTGGGCGCTCTCAGAGACTATGTGCCTTTATTATAGTCTAAGAAATGCAATCAGTCGTTTATTGAGGTTAGCATTGATTGGGAGAGAGCAAAACTTCAACTTTTAAGCCGGTGATTAGGGTCGGATGAAGTTTGCCGGGAGATGGCATGTGAACATCAATTCTGACAATACGATTGTTGCTTTCTGAAAAAGGATGTATTGATCGGCACTACGCCGCCGTGATACAGGTATTTGAAACAGGAAAAACGCTAAAAAATGCCAGATAAGTAGCTGTAAAAATACCATTTGTGGCGGGGCTTTCGATGCCGTTGCTAATGGGCTCATCTATGGTGGTAGGGACAGGCGTGGTAGCCTCTAAAAAATGTTACAACTTTCTTTTTCTTTTCTTCATTTTTTTGGCTTCGCTATTTTCGCCTAATTGTCCGATGGTCCAGAAATTTGCCTACCAGTGGTAGTCGCAACCGTCGTGATCGTTTCAATTTTTGGCTCCTCAGACGTCGCTAAAATCACAAGGTCTCCTGTTGTGATATTCACTAACTTGGTGGTACAGGCTTGGGAAAGGCTGGCGGGCCGCTACCTGTGGAGTTGACTGAAATCTGAAAGTTGCTGGGAGTAACAGAAAAACAAACATGGATCCAATGTAGTGTAGGAGACGGCTCCGAGGACCATGGAGCTGAGGTATAGAACGTGGAGGAGCTTCATACTGACGAAGCCGCTCAAATGGAGCTGCTTGTAATAGCTAAAGACAAAGTGAAATGATACACTGAAAACTCTGCGCTCATATGGCGAACTCCGGAATGTAATTCTGTTATGTCTAGTAGTATGATTTTTATATTAATAAGAGTGAGATCGGCCGTTGATAATTACCTACCAGATTTATTGTCTGATTCATAGCAAAAATCAATTATGAAATTTGAATCGCAGCAATTGCCCTGTTGAATTTTTTGTATTTTGGCTGTGTAATACCTTGATTTACATCCCGAGATCTTCTAACTTCTCCGCCTGCAAGTAAACTGATTTTTCCTTTGATTATAAAGAAAATTTTTTTATTCGACGCTCAATCCCAAAACGACAAAAACACGATAAAGCCGGCCAGGTTGATGGCCTGGAAGATCAGTTGGAACAGGAAATGGCGGGTGAGTAGGTTTTTGGAGACGAACTTTTTTAGGCGCTCCCTGAAATTACAAGTTTTAACCAAACTTTTTGCCGTTACGGTACCACAATCCCAATTTTTTATCCGCTTCCACCGATTTCTTAATTTCCAGATTTGTCTTGCGATGGAAGTTGTCTAGCGGGAATACGACGACGATGACGCATGCAAATGAGGTTACGCCAACGCAGAGGACGACGTAGATTCCTAAATATCCATTTAATATGACTACTATTAAGAACTATAATGCAGCAAATTTAAGCATTTGAAGCCATTACCTAATATCGGAAAATCAACAGTTTTCGGTATGGCATCGGAGAGCATATCCAAGAGGACGGTCATCGAGACGAGGCTCGTTAGGCCGATACCTAGCTAAAATGAGGCGTTAAAGGAATACAAAACCGTGCATCAATGATAAAATAATGTTTGGTAGCGTTTATCATCCTAAGAAAATTAAAGGTAGATCGTATCGATCAAGCCAAACCTTCGTCAATTGTTCCGCTTTGTAATTCGGGGTCCAAAACATGCCAACAGCCGAGAGCATCGTCAGAATAAAGCAGGGAAGGGCGATGACGTACACGTAGAAATTTGGGACTCTCCGGAGCGTCAGCTCAAAGTTCAGCTTCACCAGGGCTTCATCGCCAACACCGAAAGAATTGTTGAAAATTCCGAGGTGTTTCAGCTCCCACTCGCCGTTTCCCTGAACAGCAGGTAGCATAATAACACGTCAAAAAATTTACTACCTGGTTTTCAATTTTTATATGCTCATTTATCGAGCCGTTGATGCTGATGAATTTTCTAAAAGCGATTACGCAACCGAATCCTTGACCTACAGGATCATGATAAACTAAAAGCTTACTGTTCATAGGCCCAAGTCATGAAGGGAAGCAAGCAGACTTGAGTGTCGAACGGAAAGGTTCCGACCTGAAAGCAGCATCTTTCGCGAGAGAGAGAGAGAGAGAGAGAGAGAGAGAGAGAGAGAGACAGAAAATAGCACAGTGATATGACTTTAGGAATTCTACTTACCTTTACTCTACAATTATTTTCCGCGTAATACTGAGCCGGCCAAGTCACATGCCCACTGCTTTTCACGCATACCGTCCGGATACCTTCCGGATGTATGATCGACAGGGCCAAACTAAAAAAAAACTTAATTTAACGATGCAAGCAGGCCACATGGAACGTCCATTAAAAACTTATACACTCACACGCCAGCAATATTCGTGTCTGGTAGCCATAGCTGATCTTCGTTGAGGTATAGTTTTGTCGTATTGCCGTATTCTGCTGGATTCCAGGCGAGGCGAGGGTCTCTCCAACGCTAGAGGTATCGGTTTTAGGCTGAACTCGTAGTAAACCTACCATTTTTATTTGATAAATCGTCGTCAGCACTTGGTTCTGAGCTTCCTTAAATTAGGTTAATTCCGATTTAAGTGTAAAAAGATTACCAAGCCAATAAGTTGTATGAAGAACAGCCGGATTTCGATGTTTAATGGAGGGGTATCAGATTCTAAGAGATGCTTGGTTTGTTTGCTTTTGTCTTGTTGACGTTATGACGCTAAAGTAAAAAATCGGACCTGAGATATTGCTCGGCATCCATCCATAGACCGGGGATAGCCCCTTGTTATAACGCCTCACCGTGAAAATCTCATCGTACAGTCGCGTAGCGTTGTTCATGTAGTTTGAGTATGATTCTGAAGGTAAGGCGATTCGTCATTACGTCACTAGCTTTTAGCAAGAAGTGCCAAATGCGCTTTTTTACAACCATAAAGACGATGCGTTTTAGAATTGGATTACGTAACTTTTAAGTGTCAAAACACTATCAATCCAAAAAAAAATCAGATTATTGTCATACGTTACGCCCATTAAGATCAAATTATACCAAATCGTATATTGTTATTAAATTGAAAATAGTGTCATAAGTAAAATTCATTGACATTAGACGATCTTACCAGTATCCCCATTTTTTGTATAGTCGACTCGCTGGGAGGCCACAACCGAAAACTTGAACACGACAAGGAGGATCAATCCAACCATGACGACGAGCATGAGCTTCAAATTCGTCACGCTAAAGCACAATCTCCCGTACTTTAGACGCCCTGCCAAGCGTGTCCTTTAAAAAACGGAAGTAACACGAGTAGTCGACCCAAAAAGTCAACAAAAAGCTCCCGGACAAGGGGGCTTTAGCTGATTTTTTTTTTGAGGTGGCGTGCAATTTAGGTATATTCTGTTAATATTTTAAGTTTTTATATTCATTGATTTTTAATTCCAAAACGACAAAAACACAATAAAACCGATCAAATTGATGACTTGGAAGAAGACGTGGAAGCCGAAATGCCGCGTGAACACGTCTTTCTGGATGAATTTCTTGATCTTGGCCCTGAAAATTCGGTCTCTTTGGGAGGGAGCGAGAGAGAGAGCGTGAGTGAGAGAGACAGATAGAGAAAAGGCTTGAGCTTGGCCTGTTTTGGGTATGTTTTAGGCCTTGATCCTTAAGCTGTAATTCGATACTCGCCTTTTTGAGCTGGTTTCTAAAAATTGGAATTTGATCTAGAAATGACTAGGGCACTAATTTGCACGCGAGCACGGGGCCAAATTTAGAACGTTAGTCCTTGAGTGGGTTTTTTGTGGGTATTGGATTTCCGGTAGAAAAACCCAAGGCTAATTCTTAAAAACGTTTCGAATATCAAGAGGGTAACGAAGGAACCTAAATTTAGAAGGCGTAAAAAATATATAAACGTTCGTTCGATGAAAATTCATTGAATTCATAAAAACTATAAGGACTCTCACCAATAATCCAGCTTCTTATCCTCCTCAATCGATTTCCGTATCTCGAGATTCGTCTTTTTGAGGTAGTTATCGATCGGGAATACGACAACGATTACACATGCCAAAGATGTTATACCAACGCAAAGTACCACGTAGATTCCTAAATTTAGAGTATTAAGTTACTCTTTAAAAAACCTAAAAGTGGGAAGGCGTCCGTTTTCGGGATGGCATCAGCAAGCATTTCCAACAACACGGTCATCGAGACGAGGCTGGTGAGTCCGATACCAAGCTAAAAGACGTATTAATAGAATGATGGGGGCATTAATGACAAAAATCCGGATCCCCAGGACGTCTCTGCTAGATCGCCCTACCAATTGGAAGCCCCTTATCGTGTATTTTTGGCCACACCTGTTGCTCATCTACAATTGCTATGACAAACGTACGACAAAGTCACGCAGGCGCGAAAAACCTAGTGCCACTTTTTGAATAGGGATCCTCTGTCATTAAGGCGTCACTGCTTGTATGCGAAGGGTTATTATGATTTGTCCAAGTCAGTTGACTTCACTACCCCTTTAGCCTAACCTTCGTCAACTGGTCCGCTTTGTAGTTTGGAGTCCAAAACATGCCAACGGCCGATAGCATCGTTAAAATAAAACAGGGGAGGGCAATGACGTAGACGTAGAAGTTTGGGACCCGTCGGAGGCGGACCAGGAAGTTTAACTAAAACGGTCCTCTTCGAACCCTAGGTTGAAAATACCACAGCAATTTCCTCCTCACCAGTACCGTAGGTAATTACGCTCGTCGAAAGATTTGATAGATCCCATTCGCCATTACCCTAAAATATGGGATGAGGAGAGAGAGAGAGAGAGAGAGAGAGACAAACTAAAAAGAGAGCGAGAGAGAGACAGAGAGACAGTGAGAGAGACAGAGCGAAACAGAGAGAGACAGAGAGAGACAGAGGGATGGAGAGAGAGAAAGAGAGAGAGAGGAAGAGAGAAAGAGAGAGAGAGAGAGAGAGAGAGAGAGAGAGAGAGAGAGAGAGCAACAAGGAAGAGTCGAAACTCGATTCCTATACCTGCGATTGAAGTTCTATGGCCGAATTAATGGTACCGTTGAGGGTGATTGAATTGCTAAAAACACAAAGCTTATAGATTGATACTAACAAAACATACTAGTCATAGATAAACGTCATAAAAGGTATAGGGCAGGTTTGGATATCGAATGGGAAGGTACCGACCTGAAAATACAATATTTAACATAGCGACCCTTGTCATCGCTGCGCTCGGATGTATTCCAGTCCCCAACCCCGAATAAAGTTTAAAGATTACCTTAATCGAGCATGTCGTCTCGGCAAAGTAGACGGTAGGCAATAAAATCTCGCCGTCGCTTCGCAGACGAGCCGTACGGATCTGTTCCGGGTGGATGAGGTCGAGGCCTTTTCTGAACATGATTTTTGAGAAATGATTTTTTTATGAACGTCTTCTATCCAAATAAAGCAGACTTTAGCATACAAATTAAAGAGCTTGTTTGAAATACCATCTGTGGAAGCATAAAACATCAATTCCGTAGTTTCCTGCCCGTTTGCGCGAAGCGCCGAAGATGCTTTTAAGCTTGTAAATAAAAATACTAAAAATAGGAATAGCAATCAATTAGTTACGCTAAAGTTAAGGCTAATAGCTAGTATTTTCGTAAACCTACACATTGCCAACATTCGTATCCGGCAACCAGAATAGCTGCTCGTTGAGGTACATCTGCTCAATGCCACCGTAGTCATCCGGATCCCACGCGAGCCGTGGGTCCTTCCAAATCTGCAAAAAATACAAACATCCAAATTTCTAGACCATTCCTACCATTTTGATCTCTAGACATGTACTGAGAATTTGACTAGACGCGTCCTAAACGTCAATTAATTTTCAGAGTAAGTTAAAACATACCAGCCCGATAATTTGTATGTAAAATAAACGCAATTCAATGTTGCAGGGATCGACCGGAAAATCTAAATTTTGTATAAATTGTTGTGGAATCAATTTTTTCACCTTACCTGAGCCATTCTCCGGTCTCTTTGCATAAATCGGTGATAATTGGCTACTGTAGTTTCGATTCGTGAAAAGTTCTTGTTGTAATCGCGTCAAATTATTCAGGTAATCCGAGTAGATCTCTGGAAGGTTCATTATTTCTCCTTATTTATTAGCAGGAGAATAAGCTTATTTTCACAATTTAAAATTGACAGTAGAAATCGGTGTTGCCGTCTTTGATATGGTTTTAAAAATGGCTGCTTTCATTCTGCATTTTAGCAAAAGAATAGGAGCAAAAGGAAAATTGCGAAATATGCAATTCCTGCAAAAACTCGCAGATTTTGAAAGCCTTTAAATGGTCCTTAATTGGGTTTTCTAAGTGAATTGGTGATTCTAATAACCAAAAATTTGCACAAGTTTTTTTACAACTTAAAACATACTTGGGTTCCCGTATTTAGTATAGTCGGTTTGAGCATGAGTCGTCTTTAAGTTGAGCACAAAAGGTAAAATAAAAAACAGCATCAAAAAGCCAGTCCAGCTGCAAGTAACCGAACTCTGAAACAAAGCATCAGCGCCTCAAAAGTATAGTGTAGTCCCCCTCAAACCAAGCCGAGAATTGTCCATTACATAAAAGTGGAAATTTAATCTACCCCCGGCGAATGCCGTTTGCATGGAGCAATGGGTTGAATTGTGCTTTTTCAAGGGGTTGCCGTGTAGTGGAATTGCGAGAGAGTTCAGAACAAACAATTCTTTCGCGCAGCGTCAACCAATTGACCCCAGTACGGACGGGATTGGAGTGGGTTTCATAGGTGGAACTTTTGAGGATGATCTCTGTTTTTTTTGTACAAAATTGATTTTTTGAGCTGAAGATCTCTCCCTCCCTCTCCCTCTCTCTCTCGCTCTCTCGCTCTCACTCTCTCAAATATCTTCCGCGACGTTCAGTTCGAGGCTGATTTGTAATGGGCGGAGGCAATTTTAGCGCAGTTTGCCCTTATCGTATTACCTGTGTAAAATATATTTAATTCCAAAACGATAAAAACACAATAAAACCAATCAAATTTATGGATTGAAAGAAGACGTGAAAGCAGAAATGTCGTGTCAGCACGTCTTGCCGGATGAATTTTTTGAGCTTGGCCCTGAAAATTTTGGCATCTTTAGCGAGCGAAAAAGAGAGAGAGAGAGAGAGAGAGAGATAGATAGAAACAGAGAAGGACTCCCCAAAATCCTAATTTCCTATCCTCGTCCGCAGATTTCTTCATCTCCACATTGGTTTTTCGATGAAAGTCCTCCAAAGGGAAAACGACAACGATTACGCATGCAAATGAGGTCATCCCGACGCATAGGACGACGTATATACCTGCAATATATGATACTCGTGCGCCCTTCTGATTGTTACCTAAAATCGGAAAGTCCGAAGTCTTCGGTATGGCATCGGAGAGCATATCCAAAAGGACTGTCATCGAAACGAGGCTTGTTAGGCCGATGCCTAGCTGAAAGATGCATTATTGATGCACGAAAATCCGTGTCAATTACCAAAGGATCTCTGCTAGCCTCCTCTCAATCCCACCTTCGTTAACTGTTCCGCTTTGTAGTTTGGGGTCCAAAACATGCCAACAGCGGATAGCATTGTTAGAATGAAACACGGGAGTGCGATGACGTAGACGTAGAAATTTGGGACTCGTCGAAGGTGGACCAGGAAGGTTAACTGGTGGTTGTCCGAACTAGAGATTTACCACCGAATTGCACCCACGATCAGGGACGTAGCGTAATACAGGCCCCGGGGGCCCGGGGCCCCCCCCCGAAATCGGCCGGGGCC